CGATTTGGGCATCCCATTTTTTTGTAATAACAAATGCCCACTTACAATGCAAGCCATTTGCCCCTTTATCATGAGGCTGTTGAAATGCGCTAGAAATGTGGACTAATGCTCCCGATGCACTTCTGTTTCCAATATTCCCAGTATGCTGTGTCCACCAAGAGGAATACAATTACCAGGTTTGACAAACACATGACAACGAAGGAGCAGCAGATCCTCAAAGCAGAAACAAAGCTCCAGGAGGATGCCGTGGCCTTCGAAGAGTTCCTCCGCGAAAATGACCAGAGATCCGTAGACGCCCTGAAAATGTGCGTTTTCTCATGCCAGCCACATCGCTTTTTGCCTCCCTCTTCCTTCTTTGTAGGAACACAGCTCAATGCAAAACTAACAAATCTGTTACTTTTCAGCGCAGCGCAAGAAACCATCAACAAACTCCAAATGACAGCTGAGCTCAAGAAAGCGAACATGGAGGTGCAGGCAGTGAAAAGGTGAGGCCCGAACGCCAGCCTTCTCTTACCGAGTGTCCTCGCCCCATTCCGTCCTGCCCGTGCTTAGCAGGACCCAAGTGGGAATAATCCTTGTCAGGTCATGATTTCATACGCGTCACCACGTTTTTAAAATGAGTGATCTGCTGATGGAGGAACATCTCCGACTGGATATCAGGACAGCACAGTGGTCTCGAGCTGAAAAGTTTCTCTAGCTTGTCAATAGAGAAGCCAAGAAATTAGTTGAAAAGAAGGAAGCCCGTGTTGGGAGTAAGCAAATTACTTTCAGACTGTCCTTTTCCGTCCCACATCTTAACATCTCTGCAAGGGGGATTCATTTTACAATTATCTTACCATTATAATCAGCACCGTTTTTATTATATTTATCCTCACACTTAGATGAGCCTAGCATTGATATTAAAAACCAGGATCTATAATGACAAAAATACAGGAGGAGGAGTTGAGATTAAATTATGGTACCACCTGCCACTCTTATTTATTTTTTTTCCAACCTGGATGTTTTCCTCTATGGTCAAGTGTATCTCGCTTGATCTCATTTTAAATATCTAAAGAGGCTTCCTGCTGTCACCATTGTTGGACAGCAATTTCAGTGGCCCAGGAGACTCTGTGGTCTTGGCATCGAAGCATGCTAAAAGTTTTTTCTTTTTGGGGATGTTTAGTTCTGCTCTAAAACCAAGTCCTAGGTTTAGACTTAGATCTTCGACATTTTTAGGAGAAAGACAGGAGCTCGTCTAAAACACAGCAAATGGACTGGTGGGCAGTTTCTTTGAAACCAGTTGTTACCGACAAAACATATGTTTCAAACACATTCTGGCTGCAGCAGCCTTTGTTTTGTAAGGAGCCTAGCTGAAGATGGAGAGTTCCCTTCCCTCCTTCCCTCCATAAAGGAATCAGGAGAATCCATCTACGTATAGAACTAGAGTAGCAGCTTCTGTGTTTGAATAAAGTACTGTGATTTCTGCACAATGGCCACCCAGTTAAACCCTCCAGACAGCCTTTCTGGAAAGAACCTGCTGATTGTTTTCCAGTTGCATCATCTCAGCAAGGTGCAGAAGGTAATGCCAACCAGGCTGGTAACAGAGCCAGGGTCGCAGGCCCCTGCTACCCATCTCCCCCTTCTCTCTCTACGGCCACCGTAGTCCTCCACTGCAGCGAGGGCTGGAAATCTGTTCACAGAGGGAAAGGGGACTGGTTCTGAAGCTTTTGCAGTTCTAACCATTTTAACCCTGTTCTTAGCAGCACACCTGGGAGGATTTCAGTTTAAAGAGAAAGAGGTGGTGCAATGAGGGGCTCCCAGCATCTTGTGACTGGTGATCTGTGAGCTTCTTCAGATATTTAACATAAATCAAGTGAGATACACTTGACCATGGAAGAAAACGTCCAGGTTTGACTCTTGACTATCACTCACACACCAGGGCTTCAGGAAGGCTCTGACAGAAAGAAGTACTGAGGCTGAAGATATTGATACAGGAGCAATATTGATCAGGGCATTGAAGCGTGTGTGTGTGAACTGAGTAAGGAAGGCTCTGAGGGATGATGGTGGAGCTCGCTTTCATGAGGGCCTCCCTCGGTATTTTAAACATGACACTCCCTTTGGGCCCACTTTGAAACATGATTATGGGAAAGCCGTGTGAGGCTGGGGAAAGGCTTTTGGTCTAGTTTGAGTGCCGGCTCTGCCATTTACCAGACAGGTAACTTCCAAAAGATGGGAATGGTAATACCTACTTGAAAGTGCCCTATTGAGGATGAAATTGGATCTGCAGTGTTTCTTGCCTATTGCCCAGTACATAGTAGGTGCTCATTGATTGCTAGTTTCTACCTTAATACCATATTTCCCTCAGAAATAAATAAGTTGAACCAAACTATCATCAATCTACCCAACCTGTGCATATCCTGGGGCATATTTTATTCAAGCAGATTCCCTACAGGTTATTTCTTCTTATATCTTATTGATGCCCATATTTTTAGGGCCATACTTAGGATTTTTGTTAATACATATAAGAGAATGAATTTTGTAAAACCTTTTTTAAAAAAATTGAACATGCTTTCACACACATATATCTAATCATGTCTTTGTTTCCTTTGAGTAGCGAAATATCAAAAACAGAATTCCTCCTTAGAGAGTACATTAAATATGGGCTTTTTCTGCTGAAATTGTCTCCAAAACATTGGCAAATCCAGCAAGCACTGAAAAGGGTGGAGAGATCGAAGAGTAAAGAAAATGTGGATGTCACTCTTCCAAAAATATTAACAAGTGAGTCTCGTGTTCATTTCAATTAAGTAAAAATCCCAAATTCTAAAATGCTCAGCTTCAGTGTTTGTTTGCTATTTATTAAATAGTTAGAATTTCTATTTCGAGCACGACCTGAACAAGGATTCTCACTGTCTCTGTTGTTATATATCATTAATTTGAAAACTCAGGTTAATTTGAGATATCAAGCAATAAAAATATATACACGGAGTTATAGAAAATGTATTATTTACAGATGATATGATAGCATATCTAGAACCTCCCACCCATAAAAACCTGAAAAACTATTTGAGTAAATAGACACAAAGTCAATTATATTTATTAGTCTAACATATTAACCTAAATAAACTAACTTTATTAATTAGAAAACATACAAGGAAATTAAATCCAAGAAAGCAACAATAACCTTAATTGTGTGACCTGGAGATCTGACAAATAGAGAAATGTGTCATGTTTTTAGATAGAAAGATTGACATTGTAAAGCTGCCAATTTTTCTGAAATGAATGTTTAAGTTTTATGGACTGTGACCAAAAACTTGTCAGGGACTTTGAGTGTTGGGTTGGGGAGAACTTTACACAACTATTCCGAGGCTCATCTAGAGAAATAAATTCTTTTGAAGGAAGGAGGTAATGGGGCTGGGAGGGGTGTTACTAATCCTTTAAGATAAGTAACATATTCTGACCGAGTCTCGAAAATTAAAACAGTATGGTACGGGTGTTTGGAAGTCAGCTTAATGGACCAGAAATAGATGTTATTATATGTAAGAACTTAATAAGTGATCAAAGTGGGGTCACAAGGGAAGACTTCCGCTTCTAATAACTTTGGGGTAAAAAGACCCAGACACCCTCCTGCCTGAAAAGTCTGAAAAACATATGAAGCAACAGTTTTCAGACATTGGACACCAGGAGCGATGCAAAGGAATCCCTCAGAGAGAGGAAACAAATGAGATGGGCCCTGTGGTGGCTTCTGGGTACTGCCAGGGACAGTTTTCTAGAGCCCAAGTAGGCCTAGCAGTCCCCACAAATTGAAAAGACAGAGCTGGGGTCCAGGGAGGGCACAGTGGCTGGAGTTCCCAGAGAGTTCTGCGGAGTCTTCAGCTGAGAGCTGAGTCTGAGACTCTGGGGTAAGAACCATTGACATCCCAGAAATCAGTCAACTACAAATCGGGGAGGATCTTTTCCCCAAAGAGCACACCACAGATGGTTGCCCTGCTCAGTTTCCCCGTGTCTTTCACTGTGCAGATTGTAATTAAATTAGATCAGTGTGTATGAAATATTGAGCGAGCACAGTGATGACCCTTGGTTAACTGAATACATGGTGTTTGACAAGAGGAAAAACAAATGGAAAGGAAAAGTGAGAAGTATCTGCATCTCACAGCTTAAGGTTCAATGCTCCTAGACCTACCATCTAACTAGAGGATGCTCAGAGAGCAATGAGTCGCTCACTCCAGAGGAGTGAATGGCTCACACTGGGATTTTAGAGGCTATGACGGACGGGTGCAGGAGATAGAGGCCTCCTCTTGCCCTGCCGGTCGGTTCTCATCCATTCTGCCTGCCCCAGAGACCAGGCCTTGCCTCCTACCTCATACATTTGCTGGTGACAATGTCCCCATCTTATATTTCTGTCCCTGGAAGCTTTTACAATAACACTACTTTCACTCTAAGACAAAGCTTTCAATCTCAGAGGTGTTTCC